AAGGCACTGGATTACAGACTCTGTAAAGCTCCTGTCTTTTCTGAAAACATACATATAAAGTAGCAGCAGACAGTGGTAACTGACAACTAAGACTAAAAATGTTGACAATTTCTTGATTTGCCTGGTTAGCTTATGTATAGAAGTCATTAACTATTTATAAAATGTATTATGAATTGGGTTCCTTCAAACTGTAGCAGTATGTGTGACATTTTCCAGCATAAACTATCATGCTTCCATTTGGCTACAGTACAAATTTATACTCAATACAGAATGGTAAAGTTAAGAAGATAAAGAACCTTTATAGCTGTTACATTAACTTACCTTTACTTACTACTCTTAATGACAATCAACTTCATTTAGGGATGTTGGTAGGATTATTGAAGTTATTATTTTACAGACAAATGAGAGTGCTATATTGATAATTTAGATAGATTCTGAGAGAACAAATGGGCACTTTAGTTCAAAAGCCTGGTCTTTCATGTGATCAGTTCATTTTAGGATGAAATTGTGATCAAAAGTAGTATCAAATTATTTATTGATGAATATGGTAGAGTTGTTCTTAATTGTAGTCAAAAGGTTCAGTTGTTCTATAACAGTCCTGCTTTTATAATTGAGAGAAATCATGGAGATAAAGGGACAGTGACAATAAATGTTAGCTGTGGTGGTGATGATGTAGATTATATTGACCTAAAACAAATCTGCAGTGATACCTAAATAGAAGACAAACTTCTGGTCATAGCAAAATGGAGAAACTTTGTGAGCAAATAAAAATGTCCAGACTTCTGTAGGTTATAGACCCAGATTTAGATTTTTAATACTCTAGGCACAGGAATTTTGAACAAAGTATGGAGAATGGCCAATTCACTTGTTCCTAGTGCCATACATTCTTGTAGTATATTTGAGAGACATTTGCTTAATTCAAAAACATTTTTGTAGCCAACAATCAACAGATTTTTGCCATGGTTTATCGGCCAGTCACTAGTTTGGGCTGCCACCGATTTTCTGAGCAAAAACAAACATGCTAATAGGAAGGGAAAAGAGGAGTGAATCTTTCTTATTTTGACAGCCATCTCCAAAGCCAAGCACAAAGTGAGAGATTCTCAGCTGTGACATTTCAGAGGTGGAGTGGCTGAATTTAGTCTTTCACAAATCCATAAAAATCACACATTGCTATGAAGTTTCATCTGAAAAATTAAGGAGGGGCTGGCAGGTAAACAGAAGACACCTTTTAAATTATATTCAGACTATGAACCATCTGGAACAATCTCCTCTGATCTTATGAGAGATGTTTTCCAAGGCCTCAATCAATTTCTTGATTTTGTTTTTTTTTTTACTAACTTTCTAAGCCTGACATTGAAGGTTATTTAAACTGGAAAAATGGGGAACATGGAAACTTGTGAATGGAGAATACATGCCATGCTCTAGTACTGATTTATTGGATCATTTTTTTTTCCTTAGGCATTGGTGAGGGGAGGTCACCACTAGCAAAACAGGACTCAGACTTGTCTTTTTTGGGACTTCCATTTATAGGAACTCAGTTACATATGGAGCTCAATTGGTTTACAAGCTTGTCATTGCTTATCACATGGAGATCTGACTTTCAAATGGGAGGGGCACTAGGGACCATATATTATGCACATTCTCACATCTGCACCATATCTAGCACTCAGGCGAATAGACTAATCACGGCTAGAATCAGTTCTATTTGAGTCACTCCATCACCGGTTGTTGCTTGTGTGAAGACTCTACATATGAATAGGATCCTCTCTTCAGCAGTCACATCTTCTTGTGGAAAAAGTGATGCTCAAGAGGGTCAGGGCTTGGCGCTCCCCTGCTTACATTTTGTGTCAATAACTGACACCTGAACAGGGCTAATGCTGGAAGACATTGTGAGAAAACCATAGAGAAGTGAAAGTCACTTGAACCTTGTTTTGTTCCTCTGCTCATCATCTTACTTTTTTTGGCAGTTTACAATTTCTGTTCTTATCAGATCTGTTGATCGTAATAAAAAAAATCACAGACTTGGTAATCCCTGCTCATTTCCTCTCAAGTATTAAGAAGAATTAGTTATTAAATAAGGAAAAGGGTGAAGTCAGAGAGGTGCAGCCAGCAGCTCTTCTTTCCCAGCATCTTTGCCCACAGTACCTGTAAATGTACTTGGCCTTTCTTGGGCAAAGGTTTAGAATTCTAGTTCAGGCATGGGAACCTGTGCTTATTTCATTCTAAAAAAAACCAAAAAAATTCCAAAGTTTTCTGCCCACTGGGTGAAATTTCAGAATGTAAATAATTTTTTTTACATATTTCAGAAGTTTTTTGAGAAAAAATCTTTTTCCACCAAAACTTTGTGTTTGCGTTTTTGTGCAGAAAAACTTGTATTTTGTGCAAACTACGAAAACTTGTATTCTGTTTTTTTAAACCTTGTATATTGTGCAAAATACAAGGTTTTAAAAACAGAATACAAGTTTTTTATGTATAAAACCAATTTTATGTGTGAAGGTGGTTGCTTTTTGTGAAGACTCTCACATGACAACCCCATTTTTTCATTGTATCTCTTTTTGAGAATAAGAAAATTTGCAGGTATTCATTACATCCCTAATCCTTAATCTGTGCAACACATATGCCAGGACATACAAATAATTCTTCAATAGATATAGGAAGAAACTGTTGTTTTTTTCCAGATCCCTGCAGGGTGGGAAAACTAGAAAGTCAAACTACTGCCAGCTATTTAAATCTAAAGGTTTTCTCTAGTGGTGTACGTATATCCTTGTGTTGCTGGGATGAGACAGATCTCTTGAATGACTGGTGTTATGCTGAAAAACTACACAGTTTGCCCAATAGTTTAACAGAGGCCAGGTCCATAGTCAAGGCATGTTAATGTCAGGTCATTGGAGTTGCATAGGTTTAGTAGTGCAGGTATTATGCCTGGGCAGAGCTATTTTACCATGCAGAGTTAAACTGTTAGACCATGGAAGAAGTAAAAAAAATTAAAGAGAAAATACTGGATTATGTATTGACATACATTTGTAACTTCCTTCCTTGTCTGATGTATATCAAACACAAAATAGGATAATATCATAATTGAGCAATCTATGCCAATTTGTTGGCTTTTTTATGAAAAAAGAGAAAAACAAAACCCATCTCCATATGATATTCTTGCATACTGCAGAGTGTTTTAGTCTCCCATAGTGATGAAATGAATAATTTAAACAGGCAGCTCTGATACCAGAGCCTCTTTAAAGGTTCCCATTTCCTTTAATGCTGTAGAGACTACTTTTACTTGACTAATATGAAACTGCTGTGTCTGAGATATCCAAATAGGTTTTTTTTAAGGCTATGTCAATTAAGCATGTTTTCCATGGTTTCTATGACAGAGGCTTTAATATACATTCTCTGCTGAATATGAGTAGTTACATAATATTAAAGGTAATAAATGGCATAGGTTTTATGAAGATTTTTAAAAAGCAGTCTAAAGAGGTTTGCTGATCAATTTTGCATATTATTTAAATGTTTCCCATCTGGTTAACCTGTTAGTTGTAGGCATTGGTGTTAAATTTAACGTACATTTTACATTCAAATCTCCACATCTCTTTTATGAGGAGAGAAAAAAGCAAAATAAAAAGATGGTCAGAATAATTTGAGAATTTGAGATGTCAGAATAAAAGTTCAGGCCCCAACTTGCACCTTACTTTCAATTTTCAGTGTAGGAGTATGGTCAAATATATATTTAAAAAACAATGCAGCTTTGAAGATTGACATATTGGAATGGAAGTTGATTTCAGATTCACCCCAGATCCATATTTAGAATAGCAAGGAAAGTGTGAGACTTTTCATATATTGTGCTTTGCTGGAATAGGTTCATTTGCAGCTATTGTTTTCCTAGTTAAGTTTTTGAATCTTTTATGTAATGAACCTGTCTGCTGAATGCTGTACTAATTTTTTCACCATCTCAGATGCTGGATGTGTTGTATGGAGTTCTCACTGTTAAAATTGCCCACTTGCCTCATATAACATAGGAAAAGTCTAACTGTATCAGTTTCAAATCAGGCTGGAATTTTTGTCATTTATAATTTAATTCATTGTAAATTGACTAGTATGATGTTATCATCTATGTCATGTTTGCATCTTTCATGCAGAGGAGATGATTTTATCATGAACATTTGCACCAGTTTAGCAAAAGGGGGATATATTATTACTCTTTGAAACAGCAACTTACAGTGATGACTTATATATGTGATCTCAGTTTATATCGATGTTTTACCCCTAAAGAAGGACCAAAACAAAAAGCCAACACTTTCCACCACCCACTTTCTTCTACCCCAGCAGGTCTTCTGTTTCAGTTGGGGTAGAAATTTACAACACGCTTCTGAGCAACTGGGTTGCAAAATGTTGTTGGACCTTTTGAGACTTGGCAGTTATTCTTGTCTCTTTTTAAAGATTTCTTTCTAATATACAAGATAAGTGAATGTCTGTAAACTATCCATTGTGAAACTGGATTTGCTTGTTTTTATATAGATATAGATATATAGATTTGGTGGTAATGGAAATTGAAATACATGCATGCAAGGTCACTTATCTCAATCATCTGGTAAACATCCAAACGCTCCATGTAATAAGACAGTGGTCAGACACCATTAAGGTTATGTAAAATGACACGGGACTGCTTGGGTGGAGAGAGAGCATTCAGAAAATGCAAGTAATAGGGAACTGGGGATAGCTCGTATTGAACTTAATAGAAGACTCCTTTTCTATGTATGCTGTGCTTTGCCAAACTAATGTTCTTATAAAAGAATAATTTTTAAATCCTCCCAAAAATATTGATGATTTCTGCATTATATTTGACATCCTGGTAAAATGACTTTGTGAGAACTTCTTTAGAGATTTTTGTCAAATAGGAATCCATTAGAGGGCTCTCGAGGTTTTAAGATGATCAGCCTTGATAGTGATGGCTCCAGAGCTTTGCTTGCTCACACTTTTTTCCCTTTCCCTTTTTTGTTTTACAGAAAAGGTCACGGATTGCCTACAGTGACGAGGTGCGGAATGAGCTCCTAGGGGATGATGGGAATTCCTCCGAGATCCAGGTAGGATGCTAATCAAGAAGCCCTAGTGGGTGGCTGGAGGGTGAAGGAGGTCACTGGCACACTGGGCTTCTCAAGCTGCTCCTTAACAGCATTAGTAGCAACTCATGTGGAAGTGATACTGTTTAATGCAAAGCTGAGGTCTTAATCAACTTCAAAATGTTTCGTGGAGATCTTACAATTTAACCCTTTACCTTGTGATCACTGTCTGCTGTCTTTTTTCCTTAAAAAACCTTTTCTTTTTCTTTATTATTTGATACTTAGGAAATAACTTGAAACACAGTGTTTGGCAACAAAGTCAAGGTCTTTACCTCAAATACTTGTAAAAGCTATAAAAAATTGCATAATACAGCTTTGATAGGAATGAAGTATAATTAAATCCACACTGACAAGGAAAACAAATGAAAATGAGCTTTCAGAATCTGACTGTTTTTTTCTGTTTCTGTGTAGGTTTTCTCTGTGAACCAGATTTTTCCTTTTTTTTTTAAAGAAAACTGCCAATTATGCCAAAAAGTGTGGAATTCTAACAGAAACAGTATAAAGTATTTGTGTTCTAGGGGATATGGAAATATTGTGTCCTGTTTATTCTTCTTCTTTGGTTTACAGTGTTCATTACACTGGAGCTAATGTTCTAGTAGAATTTTTACAGTTATTAGATGAAGTATGTTCATGGCTTTATCATCCTACTTGCATGTATATAAGCATTTAGCTTAAGGTTTCTTTATTAGAACTGTTTCCGTCTTTTCCCTCTGAGTGAAACTCAGAGCTTCTTACATGAGGTTCAGTAAAATTTGACATAATGAGATATAAAGTTAGATGTCTAATAATAAAGAAACCTCTCATTTTAAGTACTTAAGCAAAGTTTTTATGCTTTTAGAACTGATTTTGTATATTACTTTCATCCATAAAATCTTTATCTCTCTAGCTTGTATATTAATTGACAGAGAGCACACTTCTGTACATGCCTTCTATACATATCACATGTTCAATATTGCATTCTTAATTAAAATTAACACCTATGACATATCCTATGCAAAATGTAAGTACTTCCATTGCACTGTGACAAACTTTGGCTTCACTCCTCCATTGTTTTCAATGAACTTTAAAGTATGTAGCTTTGTCTGGGTTGTATCATTCCATTTATAGTCTGTGGCATCTTAAGACATACATTTAGGGAAACGAAGCAGTCAGTATAAAGATTGTTCATACTTTGAATATGTTTGAAATATTTTCTTCTGAAACTGGAAGCATATTTCAGGAAAAATATGTGGCAGTCAGAGATCTTTGGCAAAATCTGATCTCTTTTTAAAACGGAAATTTATATCCCTAAAATTTGAATTCTTTAACTTCTTTTCAGAGAAGGGACCTTGTGTGGCTCCATCCATGAAGGAAAAGTTGGGATAAAACCTTTGTTGTGATAACATAATATATAGTTTAGAGAATCAACTTTATTTTTGTCTTTGGCTCTAGGAGCAATGGATTACTTGAGTAATTAGCAAAAAAAAAAGGAGTTTGTTTTGTGGCAAAAATATGTTGCTTTCATTTTTCTAAATGGCTTAATATCTTAAGGATAGCCTACATTGTTGAAACTACCAATGTTTTCCTTTACTAAAAAGCAATCTGCAGAAATGTTCCAAGTTCTGTTTTTTCTGTTATAATATAAACTATATCCTTAAGGAAAAGCATGTTAATAACTTGTATCATTGGCCAGCTGTTTTAGGGCCTAGATGTAGAACCTTTATTGGCTTCTGTGCTCAGAGTATAAATGTAAAATTGATGAATATCTGCATATATTCATATACCCAGATTTTCTTTTCTCAGACAGAAGTAAAGAACATCTTGAAGATACTTAACAAGTACTGAAACTGTCAAATTTGTCTGCTGCTTTTTGACCATTTAATCAGGTTAAGGTTAAGTTGCAGAAATGAAAGTTGTTTGTCCACTATTCTCTATTGTATTATAAATCAATACATAAATCACTGAAAAGCAGATGCTGCATAAAAATAATTGTCTTGGGCTTTAGCAAACTTAGGAGTATTGACCTCTCAACACTACCTGATAAACATCTGAGTAAATACTGGTAAAAAAAGTGAAAAGTTAGGCAGCTCCAGACTAAATGCAGTAAGAATACATGGATATAGATTTCAAAATGTGAACTCCGTAATACATGCTGGTATAAGCGAGGAAATACCTGTGGGTCTCTCTGTGTCCATTTGTGTTCTAATAGTACCATAGTACAACTCTGCTGCATCTGGTAGTTATAGACAATACACTCTCAAGTAATTTGCAGGAAATATGTATAGTTGAAAACACAGAGATTTGTGAAATATGCAAAATCCTATTTTACAGCATTCTGGTTCTTGATGAAAAAACATTGGGTTCAAGTGTTCAATCTTGACAACGTTGTCCAAGATCACTGTTCTAATCTGATGAGAACTGAAGATTGATTAAGAGAACAACTAACATATGATAGGTATATTAATGCATGTAAAAGCTGCTACACCCAACCAGAATATGTTGTGTTTCCTTTAAAACACAAATATCCTTGATGGAGATGGCCATGAGCTTCATGGTATGGATTCTTTGTTTCGTAAGATAATTTTTTGCCTTTTGTGTTCATTAATTTCCTTCCATTTCAAATCCAATCAAACATAATCAGATGCAGCACATTTTGAAGTACAAAAGCAGGAAACAAAACTGGATGGTGCATGGTTGGGTTATCACTTTCCCTCAGATGCTTGCTTTATGCAGGATTTCTAAATAGTGAAATGCTTCCATTATATAGCCCACATAGGTATTTACACTGATCTGGATACCATACACATTTTGCACATTTTGATGTTTTCAAATTTGGTATTTTCAATGCTAATGAAAGATTCAGGCTCTTCAGTGAAGCAATACATTGCTAAATTACAATCCCAAATGAATATTTTCTGTTTCTTTGAGAAAGTAATGGGTATATTGTTTGCAAAAGTGCATATTCAGTAAATTGTCTGCTTGCCAAAATATATTGGGTATAAATTCATGCTATTTTAAAATCTAGTGTTTTGTAATAAAATCTGTCATCTTTATCCAATTAAATTCTTATGAATGTGAAATTTTTCTTAATAATTAGAATATTACTTAACCTGTGTGAACCTAAGGAATGAAGAAAATTAATCAAGGGAGGAAAGATATTACCTATGGAAAATAGAGATTTATGGTGATATAGTTACCTTTTTAAAACACATACATACACATAGAAAATGCAGTTCTGATAGTGTAAGATTTGGACTTGCTGTGCATAAAGTGTGTCAAAACTCTAGAAACAGACTAGGGGGTGAAGTTGGTCAATTTAATTCCCCAAGATCTAAAGAAGGTTGGTATCACTTTATATAGCCCTGGCAGAGCAGATCATTACCAGTCACAAATCTGTTCGTTACATGCCGAGAGTTTATAGCAAAATAAATAGACTGTCATCACAAGTTCAGAAAATTGTGTGTTCGACCCACGATAATGTGTAAAGGGCGTTTAATAGAGTTCAGCATTTATTCGTTATCTGTATGCGGGCAGAGACGGCAGTAGCGTTATCAGCTTCTTGGGGGAAAAATTCGGTAGTTCTCCATGTCACGTGACGTGCCTCACAGACGCGCACACACTCTGCGATGCAGTTTTGATTCTACTCACAGCAGAAGGCTTAGCCACAAGAGATTCCGCTGGTTCAAACCAGCGTAAACCAGCCTTTTTTTTCAGTCTACAAAGGAACAGATTACTGCTTGTATCAATTGGGGAGGGGGTAGGAGAAGAATCTTTGTTTCAGAAATATGTTGATTATCATAATCTAAAATGGTAGCTACACATTATATTGCTGTTTGACTGAGTTTGGCAAGCTTTAAATATTGCATTTTAAAAATAGAAGTGGTAGAAATTCATCAAGTGCCATTATGGTTAAATGGAGAAAAAATCTTTTGTTAATTTGAATGAGCATCTTTCAGTCATCGTTTAAAAAAGAAAATCCCCCATTACTTAGCTTAGTTGCAAATCCTATGCAGAGCTTAAATTCAGCCATGCAGCACAAACAAGATAGAACTTTTTTTTTTGTTTGAGAGCTATTGAAAAAACAAATGTGGAGCATTTTAAAATCCTCATTGACTATGGTAGGGTGTCATGCCCCAAATGGTCTCTCTTGCAGGAGAGTAGTTTTAAACTTTGGCCTCTAAAGTATCATAGCCAACTGAGGATGGATGACCTTGGGGGAGGAAATGCTGATATGGTCAACTCCCAGATCATCTCTTTTAAAGATGTTTCATGTTTGTCTTTTTTGGAAGAGAAGTGAGGGACAAGGAAGAGAATGAAGGAAAGAGTGACTGCAAAATACTTTGATTTGAGAACAGATGGGGTTGGACTGGAAAATGTGTATATATTTTTTTTCTTGATATCAAATCCTTAGAAAGCCTTTTCTAAAGTACTGTTAACTACAGCATCTTATTTGCTAACAATTAGAAGCACTGTATCTAGATTGGTTTGGCAGTGGCACATGCCTTAATTTTAGATGAAAAAAAGTGAGCATAAGGGACCTATATTGTTCTTCTGTGGTTGGAAACATTGTTATAAAACAATCAAACCTTAAATGGATATCCATGTTTAAAATTAGTTCAGAAATATATGCACACGTTGATAATAGTCACTTTAACAGGTGACCACCTGAATTATCAAAAATAGGTAGCTTTAGTGAGAAAACTTGACCTCACCACACCACACACACTTAGTAACCAAGACTCTATCTGTGTTCATTGAAGAGTGAAGCAATGTGCTTCATTTCTTTGTAATCCATCATAACAGATTAATATTGTGAATAAGAAGTATTTTAAGTTTAACTGTTTTAAACGATTCAAAGGATTTTGGCTACTTTACAATTAGTGAATGTGTACAATTCTGAGAAACGGAATGGGGTTGAAATGACTATTTTTAAATAAAATAAAAGCTACAAAAACATAGGGAATAGTGTAATGTAAACTGTGTTTATTTCCATGATATTGTAGTTAATTAATTTGTTGCCTATTTATTTTTGATAGAGATAATAATAATCTACTATATAATATTGTATTGGTTTATTAATTTTTAACAGTTAATACTAGCTGAACTTTAAAAAAAACTAGCTGTTATAGAAAGTGGTGCCTCTATATCCACCTCTGATATATACTCCAATTTATTTAATAAGATAGATGCATTGGGACATAAAGAGGTAGGTGTCAGTGCTAAAAAATATTAAAACATTCTGAAAACTTGTATATACAAAATCACTTCAGCTGTACTATCTTAGAAGAGAGGAATAGTAAACTTGTTTTCCTCTTTATATTATAGACTTCTATGAAGTCATTCCCCTTTATTTCATGATGGTGTCTTAGATGTGGTTTAAAAGAGAATTTCACACTATTCTCTTTGTTTAATGTGACAGTGTGAGAAAGTGATCTTTATTCGTTCAAAAAACTCTGCATGTAGTCTATGTTTAGGTTCTTTTAATGTGTTTGTCTGTGATTTTTAAATGCTAAACATGTAAACAGATAAATTGTCAATGTTAATTCTGTATCCTGTCACACAACTGATCTTTCTCTCCTGCCATTTCCTTCCTTTTTATCTTCTTTGTGCGTTCATGTTGCAGTTGATAAAATTACGTGAAGAGGTGAGTACTTCCTTGCTTTTTGTTGTCTGGCTTTTCTTTTAAAGCTGGTTTTCCAAATCTGAAGTAGATCTTTTTGGTCATTGCTGCAGGAGAATCTGTTCAAAGCAACAAATATTGATTATGTTACTTTAAAACATTACACTTTCTTTCTTTCTTTCTTTCTTTCTTTCTTTCTTTCTTTCTTTCTTTCTTTCTTTCTTTCTTTCTTTCTTTCTTTCTTTCTTTCTCTCTCTCTTTCTCTCTTTCTCTCTCTCTCTCTTAAAACTACACACTTAAATGGGAATCCCTAGATCAAACCTTTAAAATTAACGCTCTTTGATAACATAGAGAAAAGGGATAATTTAAAGCCACTGGAAAAAAAGAAGGAAATTTACTATTTGATCTCTATTAGAATACCATGATCTAATCAGAACCTGTAATGATAGCTGCATCACTCAATCTTTGATTGAGTAAATACCTTTATGTCAGAGCAATATTAGGGAGGGTAATATATCAGTGGGGAAGAAATCTCTGAAGTAAGGATGCTATCCATCCATCATTGTGTAGACCTACTGGCATACAAAACAGTATGAAAATACTGCATGCTTGTTGAAAACAGAATCCAGGTTGATGTCTGCTCAGTGGTGCTTCCACTATTTATTATTTATTTCTGGTTATGCTGTAAAGAATGCAGATTAGAGTCCTTTTTTCTTGCATCGTAGAAAATGACCTGAAGTGGAAGCAATAATCTGAAGCACATATAAAGTCACTTGATAGTTGTTTGCTAGTATGTTGTTCAAGGTTCCTCTTCAGTCTTATTTTGTAGCACAGCAAATGTTTGCAATTTTATTTTTGTTTTTTAAAAATCTGATTCTTACACTTGGAGGTTTATTATATAAAAGTTGCTAGGGAACCAGTTTTCTTAGCTGGTTGCATAGTGACACCTAAGAGTTCCTAAAAGAGACAGAGAGAGGAGGAAAAAGTGCCTGTTACATCTTGTGCTTCGTCAATGACATTGGGTATAGCCTGAACCTGTTTAATTCTAAAGGGGAAGTGAGTCAGGGGGTATTTTTAAGGACGATGCACCAGCCTTGAGGGAACTTAACCAAATTAAATAAGAGGGGCAGGATTGTTGATTTATTGATTTCCTCAATACATTAAGACTGATCAATCACGCACTTACAATTCCTCATATCTATGCAACTTGTTTTATAATAGTTGTGAAGACGTTACCATCATAAAAAGGCAACTCTAGCAAGTAATGTCCTTGAGCTCTAATATATCTTTTTATTATCAGTATAGAGTACTGTACTACACAGCATTTTACAGAATAATATAAGGACAGATGTCTGTCCTGAAGAGTGTACAGTTCATTTTTCTGTGGAGAGGAGAAAGCAAACAAGGAAAAGGAAGATAACAGAGAAAAGGGAAGGGGCATAATGATTATCGAAGAGTACTTACCT